TCAAATTTGATTTTCATGAGAAATGTCCAGGTAGTACGAGTGTGATCATCAATAAATGAAATAAATCACCGAAACCCATGTAAGGATGCGACCTGAAATGGTCCTCAAATATCACTATGGATCATGGTAAATGGTTTGGACGGTTTATATGGAGAAGGTAGATAAACATTCTTATTTTGTTTAGCAAGTGGGCAAATATCACAAGAAAAAGATTTCGGACTTTTATTGACAAACAAATGTGGAAACAATTTTGCAAGATAAAAGAAATTGGGATGTCTTAAACGAAAGTGCAATAACATAATATCGGTTGAAGGTTCAAGTAAAGGAAATTGTTGTATAACATTGAAGGAAGTAGGTGGGTGGGAAAATAAAGTTGCTGGAAGTAAGTAAAGACCCCCACAAAGCCTAGCACTGCCAATCACTTTCCCCAAGCTGGAATCCTGAAAATCACAAAAATCATAGTTAAATTTTGTGGTACAACATAAATCGGTAGACAACTTGCTAATGGAGATAAGATTGCAAGTGAGATTGGGAACATAAAGAACATGAGATAACAAAATGTCCTTATTTATTCGAATAGACCCATGACCGGCAACACCAAATAGAGAACCATTCGTTGTTCGAATATGAGAGACAGACGAGTCGGCATGAAAAACGTGAAAGAGCCGAAGATCACCTATTATATGATCACTTGCACCAGAATCCACAATCCAAGTAGTACTGGCGGATGTATTAGCCAAAGTAGCAGAAGGAATTCTACCTGCAGGTACAGATTAGGAATGAGTGTTTAACTAACTAAAAAACTATTGCAACTCTTCTATTTGTTTTTTAGTAAACGAAATTCCTTGTATATCAGTATTCACAACACAATTTCCTTGAGTATCACGTTGTTGATGATGTTTTGAAGACTTCCCATCAGTAGGCTTGCCATGTAACTTCCAACAGGAATCCCGCAGATGGTTAACCTTCTTACAGTAGTCACACTAAGGTCTCCCTTTCTTTGGCCGAGTAGTAGTTTAAGAGTGAGTGAGCAATGCATACCCTTCAGTGGGTTACGAATCAGGAAGCATAATGATACGTCGACTTTCTTCGTGTTGTACTACAGAGAATACTTCCCGGATTGAAGGAAGAGGTTTGAGTCATAATACTCTTCATCTGTCTTCATCAAGATCCCGATGCAAACCAGACAAAAACTGGAATATCCGACGCTTTTCAACAATCTTCTTGAATAGACGTGCATCTTCTACACACATCCATTCATGGGATTCAAGCAAATCATGTTGCTGCCATAAGCGCGACATTAGAGTAAAATACTGAGTCACGGTCATGTTGTCTTGTTTGAGATTGGCAAGTTAACACTCAATCCCAAATAAAGCAGCATAATTTTCCAGATTCGAATACATCACCTTTGCAGTACTCTAAATTACAGCCGTTGTTTCGTACATCAGAAAGTTTTCCCCCACAGTAGGAATCATGGAATTGATGAGCCATGACATAATCATGGTATTCTCACTTAGCCAGGTGGAATATTCAGGATCCGTTACAGCAGGAATTGGTGTGGTCTCCAAAAGATATTGTTGTTTGTGCCGACCGATTATATAAAGGCGGACAGATTGGGACAAAGGAATATAATTGTCACCATTCAATCGGTGACATGTGATAGAGGCTGAAGAAACATCATAAAGGTTCGAAGTGGGCGAATTAACGAGGATTTCCAAAGTGACCTCCGATGAAGAAGAGGCAGAATTAATGATCGAATGCTAGATTTAGGGTAAAAAAAATTGGCTAGGGTTAGGGAGAAGGATCGTTCACCTAACTGATACCATGTTGATAAAGAGCAAACAACATAGTGGAAAAAGAAAAAGAACTCCTTTATTTTTATGTCTTATGAATGGTGAAGGTACATATTTCCTTTACAGGAAAAGTTAGAAGTAAGTTTTCTATTAGAAATAAACTACCTAGTAGTTATCCTTATCTATCTAACTTTCTAAGAGTTAGTGTTATATTAAAATACTAACTAACAAGCCTTATCACATAACCTACAGTATGAAGTATGATGACATATCACCCAATATTGGTGCTGGTATCCGGTTGATGAGATAAAAAAACCACTTGAAAATCACGAGGTCAATATTTTGTGGAAGAGATGCAAAGTGAAGTAAAGAAAGACCAGTCTCCGTTATTTGATGATGTATCTATTCAGAAGTCTCATTGTGTTTAGGAGTATGAGGCAATGAAGTGAAATGTGAAATGCCTTCTAAATTCAGAATGAGCAAGAGCTTAACAAACTTGTCTCCATTATTAGAGAATAGGGATACAATTGCCTGATTGAAAAAGCTTTCAACAAGCCTTTTAAACTGAGTAAAACTTGATGCATCATGTGTCTTCTCCATCATACATAACCAACTATACCGATGAAGTGATCAACAAACACCACATAATATGAATATCCATCAAATGACATGTTTAGTGTTCTAAACATCATAATAAAATGGTTTAACAGGGTGAGAGCTTGCCATAGAATTTTAACCAAATGGCAATTTATGGATCTTATTAATAAGAAATGAAGAAAATTAAAATTCTTTCAAGCTAGTTGGTCATGAGGTACATTACATGTGTGTAAACGAATGGTTAAACTTGTGATGCAGTTGATACACGGACAAGCAACCGATTGAATTGACTTGCGGAAGAAATGTCGTGGCTTGATCCTTAACAACAAAATGAGAGTCAAAAAATTCAACTGATACATGATAAGTCTGACATAATTGAGAAATCTACACCAAGTTTGTATGTAACTAAGGAACAAATAAGACATTCGTGAGAAAAAGAAGCCCAGTAATGGTGGGAACCGTGCATTAACCAATGTAAGATATAGGTAGAGAATTAACATTACCCAATTGAATTGTATCAGAACAATCATAAGTAGAGAGATCTGAAGAGTTGCGATAGTCATGGTGATATGATGTGAAACACCACTATCAAACATCTAAGGAACAAGATCAGATGATGAACGAGTAGCTGTAACGTTAACCACTGATGAGTTATCTTTTAACTACTGATAAAAGTTATTGTGAAGGAATCGAATAAGCTTACAACAATCTCGAACATTATGCCTTGATAAATTACATAACCTACTCATAATATTTTGTCTTATGGAATGACTTGATTGATTAACATAACTATGATCACCATTAGAAGTTGAATGAACAAAGTGATCGTCCTTCCCTCGAGAGCGGTTGATTGAATAACCATGATTTTGATTGGCTTGTTGTGTAGAATTTTCCACGGCAAGAAGTGTGAAATTTTCAGATTCACGGAGAAGACACTCATGATCAGTTAAGATCTTAGAGAACTCAAGTATTGTTGTCGGTGTGTTACGCACACAGGGCAACAACTATTGGACGATAGTCATCGTCTAATTGATTGACGATAGAAATCAAAGGATCCGTATCAATACCATAATATTTTCCCAAGGAAAGATCAGAAACAATATCCTACATGTTTTTTATGTAGTCAAAGATAGATCTGGAACCACGTGGATTGTGAGCTTGCTTAGATTTAAGAGCAAGAATGCGATCAAGAGATGCTTGAGCGTAATTTGCAACTGGAGTATCCCATGCCATTTTAGTGGTGATAACAGATGAAATGAGGAATTGAACTAGAGCATTGATTTGAATTTGATCATGATGATAATATTTTAGATATTTGGGATTAGCAATTTTTACTGCAACATCGATAAATTGAGATGAGAATGATGTGATCCATCAAAATAATCAACTAACCCAAAATCAACGCGAGTGGCCTCCACTTGTCGACGCCAAACAAGAAAGTTGAGATATGTAAGTTTGATTAGAAAGTTGGTTGGTGCATTGAGCTGCACAATATTGTTGGTGGAAGACGAAGCCATGAGAGAATATCCGGTTGAAAGAAGAAAAGAAGAGGAAAAAAATAATTGAGAAGAGAAATTATACTAGACTTTGATTACCATGTAAAGTATTTTTGTATTCGATAATTTTAATATTTACAAGATGAGTCTATATAGGATTACAAGGAAACCTAATCATACAAAGATAAGGAAAGTCAAATGTTACAAAAGTTAAGGTTTATACAAGGTAAATTTGAATTGAATAAGATTAGATTAGATTGAATAATCTAATCTAATCTTTATTTTTGATATTGTGATGTTAAAATATTTCTTAAAAAGTTGAAATTAGCAAGAGTAAAAATAGAATATTCCTATCCGAGAAGAAATAAGTGCTTGATTTACTAAAGATTCCCAACTTACAGTCAGACAAATAAGGTGAATTATCTGCATATCCTCATAGGTATATAAGAGTTATTAGAGAATTGAATTATCTTATTGTGATACATTTTTGATATTGCTTATATGGTAAGTGTGTTGAGTCCATTTATGTCTCACTAATTTTCGACCATTAGAAGGCAATAGAACAAGTTTTGTATTATTTGAAAAGTGTTCTTAGATGTAGAATTTTATATAGCAATCATAGTTATACTAGGATTAATTTTTTTCCAAACTCAATTGGGTGTGATGTGAGGAAGATAGGAAATCTATTTTAAGATATTGTGTGTTTGTTGGAGGAAACTTGATTCCATAGAAGAGTAAGAAATAAAATGTTATCACACGATTCAATGCAAAAGTTGAATCTAAAGTTATGGTAATGTCAGTGTGAAATCATATGGGTATATCAATTCCTTAACAAATTAGGAATTAAGGTTTCAATACCTACAAAGCTACTGTGTGGTAGTTAAGGTGTGCTTCACATTGCTTCTAATCCAACATTTTATGAAAGAACAAAATATGTTAAGGTTCTTAACGGAGTTTGTATTATTTATGTAACAAATTATGTAAATATATAATATTTATGATCTAAGTTGAGCGGGAGTGTTACAAATTTAGAGGCTAAATATTAGGGTTTACAAATACAAATTGTAGCAATTGATTAATTCGCAATATGGAATTGAGGCAGAAATTCACTCACCTTAGCCAGCCTCTTCTCTTAAGTTGAAACACCTTATCAACTAGATTCAGCAAGGGTACACTAACATTAGGTGGTGTCCACTGCACAAAAATCAATTAATAACATTCAAAATTCCAAAGCAGAAAAAGATGTTCTTCCTTAAATTGAGTGTCCTAAAAAACCTGAAACTAATTAATCAAAAGATAAAAAATTATTTGGATGTGTTGCCGCCAGGCAGACACCAAGGAAAAAGGTTGCAGCAGCTAGTGAATACGTGCAACCAACCAAGAAAATATTTTCTAATAATGATACTCGCTTATGGTTGATATTTTCATCAATGCAATCCCAAATTTTATTAGCAAAGTTAGTTATCAGGTTGGAGAAGTCGGAAGTGTGCTTATAAGGGAACTCATAAACTATGTATTGGTGACAAACGAACACTAAAACCTTCACAGTAAATGGAACCAAGAAAAAAAGGACAGATAAAGCATAATACCTCAGGGGGCATTCCAACTGGATCCTCCATATGGCTGGAGGTTGCTGAAAATTTGAACTTTGGAGATCCAACCTGGCCAACCAGCTCAGGTAATTTCCCACCTAAATTATGCTTCTCAGAAACTAAATTAACAGACTCTCGACCACGCTCTACTACCAGTGGTGTCAAACTCTTTGAGTTCAATTCATTGTCCAAATATGAATCATGACCTTGTGAATATGATCCATCATCCTCATAGCCATGATCACCACCTTTGTCACCATCTTCATTATCAGAAGCACTATGTGCTGTTTCTAAGTTACATTGCCTTGAAACGTCTTTAGCTATCTCATCTGAATTCCATGACACCATCCTGCCCGTGACTGGATAAGAGGCTTCACTACGGGGAGAAGATAAACCAACAACTTTGCGCATTAAGCCATCTGACCCCCCTCTAAATTGGCGTACAATATCATCCACGGCATCATCCACGTTGACTGTTAATAAACAAGAGAATTGGGATATGTGAGGGAGTAATCAGAAATAAAAATGGCATTATATGCAAGAAATCAGCCGAAGTAACACTGACACGTAAACAATCCATGAACAAAAAACTGGATGTCGAATCACCTTTAGTTGTTTTTTTTATTGTTTGTTTTAAGAAAAATTCTAGAGGATCCTGTGTTGGCTGGAAATGACAGCCAGAAACAAAGAACAAGTAGCACAAACGGCATAAAAGCCAAGAACAGAAACTATGTACCTGCAAGGGTTTTCATCACAGATGATGATTTTCCAAACGAGTAATTCTTCAAAAGAAAAATACAAGCACGATTAAAGTCAGATGCCATTAATACTATCCATAGAAAATAAAGGAGCACCCAACGCCAAGAAGATACAAACCTTTGAGGAAACACTTAAGAAATCCCACACTTCATGCTGTTCAGCCACATTGGGTATAGCCAATAGATCCTGCAAAGAGGGGGCTTAGCTAAAGCAACAGGTTTAAACGTAACCAACAACATGAAACTATGACCTAAATTACTTGCAGATATTTGTCAAGCTGAATGCACCGCTGATGAACAAAAGCATCATCGGTGCTTGATGAAAATATCCTTTTGGGAGGCAAATGTAATGAATAATTAGGAATTTCTTTCAGACATCGATGCAACCGTTCAAAATTTCTGTATCTGCAGAAAAAGAATAGAAACAAAAATCACCATTAATGAAGAAATAAATCAAATTCTTAGAGCTCCATTTGTTCTCTGGAGAAGATTACATATGGTGGTTTAAATTTGAAGACTTTAAAATATCAGAGGGACAGTGAACTAAGCAAAGGCCCTTGAAAGGATTTCTGACATTTTCAATTATTATTATTTGGGTGAGATAAAACCTTCTCTTGACAAACCAAGTTCTGCTTTCTACATCCGTCACTGCAATTGAATAAACTGCAAAAGATTTTGATGGAAGTTTCTCAAAGTATGCTCCAATAACCTGCAAAGATAGACAGGGGATAGCAAATCTAGTTATAGATAAGAGAAATGTCTATGACAATAATCAACACTACCAAGCTCAACTGCTCAAGTAACTGTTTCAATTTATATCTCATCACACATGGACTCGGCTGGCAGTTGAATTTTCAAATTTGCATAAATCGCAGCAATATTGACAGGAATGCTTACTCGGCACCTAAGCTTGGGAATTTGTGGCCCCTCATTGCGAAGTACTATATTTGAGGCAATCTTACCCCCGTATTCTTCACCGTGCCTGTAAAAATCAGGAGCATGGCATTCTGAAATAGTAGGCCCTCCAACATCTACGGTAAGTGCCTTCTTCGTATCAGGTCCAACTTCCAAATCAGAGGTACTATTGGATCTTTTAAGCCTACTTTTATTTCGACCAGAAGCTTGGTCACTGACATAATTAGATTTATTAACATCACGATTTCCTTCAAATGATGATGACTTAGCTAACTTTGCATCCGTCGTGTTATCATCAAGTGACTGAGTGTCAAGGCTTAAACCAGGCAATAGTTGCATCACAGATTTCTCTTCTCCTCCTGTAGAAGTTCCAATCTTGTTTGTAGAGAATTCATGGCATCCTAGATTTACATATTTTCTCTCCTTCTTTTTGTAGTTCCTTCCTTTAGTCCACATGTTTTCAAGATTTTCAGGAGCAAGAACTTCAGTTCTTCTCTGGGTTGCGGCCTCTAATTTTCGAGCCCAATCGCCTGGTCTCTGGTGCACTGGTTCTTCCTCATATCTGTTACCATCTGAAAATGTTTCCTTCTGATTTTCATTTCTAGCCAAGTTCAAATCAGTTTCTTGACTGTTCGAGGACGGTATTTTGCATGTCACAGAATAATCATCACTTTCTGCAACTGGAGACTGATCAAAACCTGCCATGATCTTATTCAAATCTTTTTTAATGGCAAGTAGAACATATTCAATCACTTCATTGATGTACCTGACAATAGAGCATTTAGGGGAAAAGGATATAATAAGGAATCTATACTGACAGAGCAAAGCTTATACAGGGTTAAAACAAAGTAATTGAAGTTCATTTATTGGTAACCGTATAAACATTCTCCACCTATTGGTTTACCTGCTGTGGTCAAGGGTAAGATTTTAATCATGAAACCAATCCATTGTTTAAACACAAACCGTTCCATGCAGTATGGATAGTATTCTAATTGATTCATTTCACTGTCTAAGAACAAAATAAACACTAAATAAAAATGCATTTGCAAATTAACCACGAAAATAACCTAAATGTTTAGAGGCTAAATCAGCTACACCGAACTGCAAGGTGACGTAGTAACTACGTTTTTTACTATCTTGCATTTAAGAAAACAACATCTCATCATCTCTCGAAACCTTACCCAGGGGTTGCCAAATGCAAGAGAGGTAGCACAACCAAGCAAGCTACAATCTCACGAGCAATAGTTCGAACCAAAGGACATTGAGCTTCTTGTGGTCTCAATACTACCGCTAAAACTCCACCAATAAGCTGTTGAATAACCTGAAAAGAAGAAATAAAAAGTGAATAAAAGCAACCCCTGAAATGCGAAGGCAGAAAGTATATTCATCAGAACACTACTCTCACACCTTGTACTCACTCTCTGGTGAGATCAGTGCAGGATGAAGCTCTTCAGAAACCATAAGGTAGTGTTTCAATCTTTCATCCCTCTCCTCAGATGATAATGTTTCTATAACATCAACACCTATCGCAGCTTGGTTCCTTCTATAGAGATCCAAGTGATCCCCTATCAAATCAATTATATCCCTGAAACGCCAGACAACCATTTGAAAGCATTGAGCTTTAACAGCGTCCAATTTTTATACAACTCACAAACCTTCTTAAACAAAAACCTACCTCGTAAGCAAATCAACAAGGTTTATCTCTTTCACCCTTCCAGATATTTCAGCAACGGCATCCAAAATCACCGCACGTATTAACTCAGGGGCTTCTCTATCCGGAGTTATCTCCGAATACCACAAATTATAAACAAAATCCCTAAGTATTTTATCAGTTAACTCATTGAGAGCAGCCTCTACTGCAGGAGAATCAATTTTCTGCTTCCACTTGGTTGGAGGCGGTGAGCCAGAAAGACGGGAATCATTCACAGATAACTGTTTCTTCTCCAAATGAGATAAATAAGTTTTCCGATGAGCTGATTTAACTTTCCATTTGAACTCAACCTCATTAGCTACAATTCTGAATGTGGAAACAATAATTATTGCTATAGGTAAATTCATCCACATTGATTTACTTGTATCTGCATCAATTAACAAAACAGAAGATAGAGTAAAAATACTCATAAAACGTCAAAAATTACTCGTAACCAACTCATAAATGCAGCAATTAGACCACATTAATACAAAATACTAATATAAAATCAAAACAAGATCCATTAATTAAAATTTAATGTACAATGTGTAACCGGCTCGGCTCCTAATGAATTGAAATTGTTTGAAAAACTTTCCAGGAAAAAAAAAGAACAATCATAAGAAAATCAAGTAGCAAAATGATAAAAAATGAAAGAATCGTATCTTAAAAAATTATATATAAAAAAGGATTAAATATCTAAAAGAAAACTGATGTAAAGCAAATAACTATTTTTTGGAATCTTATCAATTAACTTACAAGACAAGAAATAAGTGACGATAAAGATGACCATGCCCAACCAAAGTGTACGTACTTTGGCTTCTTCGATCAGATCCTGTATCGTCTGCATTGGCTTCATTATCCAGCTTTCGTTTCTTCTTCCCTCCGATTCTTTTTCCAATTCCGCAATTCAAATTGCTAAATTTCAATTCTTTCTCTTCAACATTTGAAGGCGAAACAAAGAATCCATAATTCGATCTAATTCTTATACGCATATATTCTTGGGTCAGCTAAGCTTCAGCGGTGTTTAATTTGAAACTACAGAAAAATTAACAGAAGGGCACAGCAAAATCTCTAGAATTTATTTTTTTATATATACATCATATAAGCATAAAGTTTCATTACATAAGAATAAAATGAGTGAGAAAAAGAAACAATTATTTGATCTAAAGTTTAATATAGATTCGAATATAACACAAAATTAATCACATATTGGTCTAGTGGGACGAGGTTTTAAATTATTAAGGTTGGGAGTTAGAATATTGGTGTTTGCAAATAGAACAAACTGAGTTAGGAGGGTCACCTTTATCACTGTAATATATGATCCGGATTAGACGGTCAACGGATCAAATAATGATATTATACCCTTAAAAAAATAATAAAATGATATATATTTTAATATCATCTTTTATTATATCAATAGTTAATAACCACATTTAATAATAATTTAATAATCTAACATAATTTTTTCCTTTTTTAAAATATAATCTTCATATGTGATCTGATATAAAGATTATAAAATAATAAATTATAGTTAATTTTAAGAAAATAATATTCATATGTGATTAATTTCAATTGGCATCACTTAACTAAAAAGCATACATTAAAAATGACATATAATTACAAATCAAATCAAATATCTACCCTCCACTACTACATATCAAACTTAATTGTATTAAATTTCTTAATACAATTTAAAAACAAGTGGTCTCAAAAATCGAAGTCTTCTTCTTTAAATAAAAATTAATAAATAGTTTATTTTAATAATGTACAAATTTTAATTTTAATTTATAATTTAAAATTAAAATATTATTAAGATATAATATTAAGTTGTTTAAAATTAAAATGTTATCGAGAAATAATATTAAAATTGCTTGAGTAAAATAGGTCGCTAATAAATTTTTGGTTACAATCAATACAAAATTTAAGTCATTAACTATAATATATCTTATAGGTTGAGTTTGAGACAAAATATTATCTCTAAATAATGGTTGAATTTAAAAACATTGAATATTTGAAAATTAAAATTAAGACTAAATGATATAATGACAATAAAAACATGTTTTATAATAATATATCAACAACTATATATATATTCGATAAGACTAATATCCAAATTAATTTAGATTGACCCAAGGATTCAAAAGTTAATCCAAACCAACTATATAGTGACTCGACTTAAAATTTAACTAATATGATATTAATTTAAACTATACTTAATCAATTACATATTAAATCAACTCAAAAATAATTGATTTGGTATTAATTTAATCCAAAAATTAATTATTATGATATTAACCCAATATATACTCAAATTATATTTAATCTAAGCTTAAATTATACTTTTTTACTAAATTAGAGTGATTATAAATAGTAATATATGTTTTAGAAACTTTTAGCTATTTAACAATAAAAATTCAAATATCCTACAATTGTTAGTGCTCGAACTCATGATCTTTAAGAATAAGAACTATTTTTTAACCACTAAATTTAATTTATGTAACTTAAATTAAACTTAAATAGAATATTATTAAGATAAAAATGGGCAAAAGTACTGGGATAACGTTTCCCAGTTTTTTAATTCCCCAAATAACGCACTTAGGAAATTATTTCTCAGAATAGGTCATTTGCTACAATACAGTGTGAAGACGTCGAGTGATCCGTACGATCTGTTGAAGACGTCGAGATTTCCATGCATCTTCAATCCGAATCCGAGCAGGGTGAATATGCCGAGTGATCCGAAAAAGAGAGAAGAGAAAGAAAGGTTTGAAGGTGAAGACATGGGGATTTCCATGCGTCTTCAACGTATTTCCCGTGCTCCTACAAAGCTGCATCAATGTCGTCCTTGCAGCACAACTGCCTCGATGCAACGTGCCCGTGAAGAATGAAAGAGTGAAATCAAATCCTGCAAAGCCTGCTCTCATTCCCCTATACGTGTGAAATAAATAAGTTTTACATAAAACTAATAATTTTAGGTGTATATATGGATGAGTTGGGGTGTTAGATTGAATAGAAAAAGAGCGAGGAGTGAAAGAGTGAAATCTCTTCTTGAAGAAAAAATAGGAAGACTAAAAGAGGAAGCAAGCAATTGGAAGAATGAGCATTCGGTGGTGCAATTGAGAAAAATATTAACAAAATTTTCTTTCGTTTTCTCAAGTAAGTAATCAAATATTTTATATAAATATTTAATAGTTTATCTCGTATTGTTCTGTTAAATGATATTGTTGAGTTCATTTACAGGTATTTTTTGTTAAATGATATTGTTGAGTAATATTTTACCTCGTATTGTTCTGTTAAATGTGTATATCATTTTTGTAATGTTTTTAGTTTTTATTTGACTTGTGATAAAGCTGTTAGTATTGATTTAATAATTGGATTAAAATGATAAAACAATTAGATCATTTTGCCTTATTAACTATTAAAAATACGCGAGAAAAATTTAATGATTATTTAAATAATAGCAAAATATTGCCAGAATATTTTTTTTGTTCTCTATATATATATATATGTAGAGAAAAATGAGCAATAAATTCTTCATGATTGTCCAATATAATGGACAAATTATGGAAAATGAGATTGGTGTTTTTTCAGTCTAAAAGACCTATAAAAATGATGTTTAAAAGAGACCTCACATTTATAGAAATGAAAGAGATGATAGAAAGAAAAATACAAGCTACAATTGATGGGATGAGATACAGGTTTATGATATGTCCCAATATAGTCAAATATGTTGTAGTACCACTTGAAGAATATGATGATATTAGAACTATGATTGAAGTACATGACTCAACAAATATTTCAATTATTGAAATATTTGTTGAGGTGCTTAAGATATTTGATGTTCTTGGTTCATCAAAAAATGTGGTTGGAAATTTATCTTAAATGACTTTTGGAAGTGAGTTTGAGGACCTGACATATAGGTCGATAAACAATTTTATGGCGATGTTGGAAAGTACAAATGAAGTCGGTGGGACATCGGCAACATCAAAGTATGGGCAAGAAGCATACATCATCCGGAAACAACTATTGATGTTGACACTGAAAATCGCTGGGGAGAAACCGTTGAACTGTATTTTGATATAACAAATTAAGGGAAAATGTTTTTGGACTTGAATTGAATTTATTCAAAGTTTTTCAAAGTTTTCAAAAATAATTCAAAGTCCATTAAAAGTGAATTTGAGCACAAAATTGATTTTCAACGTACGTAGTACCGATACTGTACTTACAGTATCGATACTATATGAACAATATCGATATTGTTCATGTGGTACTGATACCCAAGGTAATATAAGTATCGAAACTTTCTAGGTAGTATCGATACTACCAGCATTGCTCAAATTCCAAAATGCAAAAATGGTACTGATACCCAGAGGGTTACCGATACTACTTTACATAGTATTATCGATACCGTAGGCTTAGTATCGATACTGTCAGATCCAACGGCTAGTTTTATTTAAGAATAACAAAGGTAGTACCGATACTACTTATAGGAGTACCGATACCCTCTATACTGGGCAGTTTTATTTTACAGAGAAAACACCTCCAACGGCTCCGAATCACTCCCAACGGATAGAAACGACCACAAACTCATTCCAACATATAAATACAAGTTCAAGGCACTTAAAGAAGGGTTAGAACACCTATCCAAGCAATCAAACACAAGAGAAGAGTTTTTCACTCTTTATTCATATTCCCTTGTAAATATTTTGTTCTTGTGAGCTAAATTCTTGTAAACACCCTACCTTTTAGAGGTTTTCTTTGCTCATATTTCTTTACCTTGTAATGAGGTTTTGGTTCTAGCTAAGCCTTTGAAAAGCTAGGGAGACTTGTAAAGGTTATCTCTTTGTCCTTGAAAAAGAAAGAACAAATTAGTGAATTTGTTGGAAAATCCTTAGTGATGAGCTAAGTTAGTGGAGGTAGACTTAGTTGAGAAGTCGAACCACTATAAATCGTTGTGCAAAATTATCTATCTTTTCATTCTCCTCACTTCCTAAATAAATTTTGTCAATTCGCCCCCTTGTACATTTTTCGGTTGTCTAATTTGAGCTTTAAATATTCCAGCAGAAACACATGATGATTCGAACAAAGATGAAGAAATTGAAGACCTGATTTGGTTAACGATGACAATATTTTTAATGGTGGTGAAGTTGATTTGGCGAATGATGAATATTCGACATCGTATCAACCTACCGCACATTTACGAGATAGATTATGATGCAATGAGGGCACCTGAATTCCCATAGATGCCACATTTGACTTTAGACTATGTAACTGAATCATTCAAAAACTCGGATGAATTATCTATTAGGAAGAAATTCAGAGGAAAAAAAGCTACATTGGAGATTAAAGAATACTGCGTAAAAGGCCATGTAAATTACATGGTTGCAGAGTCCAACTTGAAAACTCTATATGCGAAGTGTGTTAAATATGGCCCTAAGTGTAAGTGGTTGATCTGAGTGTCCAAAATACCTAGGCAAGATGTTTGGGTCATTGCAAGGTACAATGGTCCTCTCACATGTTTACAGAGCTCTATTGAACAAGATCACCGACTATTAGATTCCAATGTAATATGTCAATATGTGAAGGTGTTGGTTGAACAAAACCCAAGGATCCCTTGTTCAGTATTAGATGCATCTATTTGAGACCAGTTCGGATACAATGTAAAATACAAACCTGTTTGGTATGTGAAGGAGAAGACAAGGAGGTTGATATATGGAGATTGGGATACATCATACAATGAACTACCGAATTTGTTACAAGCTATGAAATGATTCTTCTTGGGAACCATACTGAAATCTCAAATCATGCCTGCATACAACCTAGAAGATTAACTTCTTCAAGGCAAGAGAATATTCCATATTCTCTTTTGGGCATTCAAGCCATGCATTGAAGGATTTCCATTTTGCAAACATCTAGTCTAATTAGATGGTATGTGGTTGTACTAGAAATATATTAGTTGTAC